ACTTCTGTGACCAAATTGATCCTTCAACTGAGGATGGCCTGCCACCTGGTGTTAACTCTTAGCATTACCCCTGGAAAACCACAATTCCTGGGGTAGGTGAATTTAATAGGTAAGAGCTGGGATAAATATCTGCTATAGCTATATTTCTAACCACTAGTATAGAGAAACCTGATAAGAATATATTAAATATTTTGTGAATTCTTTTATATGAGAAATCTCACAATGGGGTAAGGGAAAGAAAAAAGGAACAACTGTGTAATGCTTACTGGAACCAGGTATTCTATATAAATTATTTCCCCTCCAACAAACTTGTACTATGGATATTATTACATCTATTTTACAGATAATAAAACAATAATCAGAGAGGTTAAGACATTTTTCTGACACTTAACAAGAAAATAAAAGGGTCTGATGCATTTTTTTCTGGCTCGAAAGCATGAACTCAGACTATTATACAGCATTTTGCCAAACATTTAACAAATCACTTTTAAAAATTAACTTTACTGCAGTATAGTTTACATACAATATAACTGTATGTTTTTAAGATTTTAATAGGAAGTTACAAACATTTAACACCTTACACAACTACAGTCTAATGTCAAAACCAGGAAATTAGTATTGGTAGTGTCGGTGTATACTCTTCATCACATGTTTAAATTCATGTGACCACTTCTGCTTCCATGGAGGTAAAAGGCATCTACTAGGGATCCTGTCCAGGTCTGCACTCCCTCTCATCACTCCCACCCACAGTCCCTGCACCAGTCAGTTGAGGGGGTGAAACGCTGCAGGGAGTGGAGTAACATGACCACGCCATGAAAATTAGAGCATGGTGCTTGATGGGTTCAGAGTGTTACAGAATGATGTATTTGGGAAATAACTCTCACTTCCCCTGACAATATAGAGGGTTTGTGTGTGTGAATGAATGTAGACCTCAGATAGATTTTTAAAGTATTTAAAAAGTGCTTCCTGGATCAGCAAAGGAATACTGCTTCCTTACATGAATGTACACCCCAAACTAAAAACTACAATGTAGCTCCTGGTTGAGATAGATCATAGGTGGATGGATAGATGATTGATAGATTGACTGATCTGAGGAGCTTTAGAAATATCAGGTCACCATCATTTTACAACAAGGAAGTTGGTGATTTGGGGTAAGTATTGAGAAATGTGAATTCTGAGTTCTCTTCCCCCTGACTATCCATGTGTCTTCTCTCAGAGCCTCAGTTTTCTACTCGTAAATTTATTTGAGATGTCCTAATGAGGTTTAAGAAATGTCTATTTGATCTTTGGCCAATTGACAACCCCGAGTTAGAACAATTAATTCAACTTGCTAGGCAGATCTTATTTCACAAAGATAAGAACTTTCAATGATGTCCACCACAGAAGTTATTGCATATCCAGCTCAGTGATGTCCATGTTCAGGTTTCAAAGATTCATCTGCAAACCAAATTACATTGGTATTATCAATGGGAGTTTCCTGTAAGCCATTCATAGGAACCACAGGGTGGTGAGTAAGCAAAACACGATTGTGGATGTCTTCATCCTGCAAAGAAGGAAGCAAAGTTGGCTGTGAGATCGAGTTAAAGTCATATTGTGCTGAGTGTGAGGAGAATTCAATGGAGATTCAATAGAAGAAGCAACATAAAGAAGAGCCCATACCAACTTTTTGTTTGTTTACACAACATGGCTGCCGCAGAGATGTCTGTCTTACAGAGAGGAAGCCCGTTGGCTGCTGCTGAGTCTAATTGCTGACTGACCATAATATCCTATACTATCTAATAAAAGGGTGATTTGCAAATTAACCATCACTCCATCACAAAGATAATGGTGCCCATATCCACAAGATGGTGGCACCCAGTCCTCTCAGCCCCGCCAGAGTCCCCTAGTCCCGGGGGGTGGGGAGGAATGAGGCAAGCATTCCACACCCTGGCCACGGAGGGAGGGCCTCCAAGCCAGGCTGGGTACAGATGGGAGGAGCAGCCCTGAAGGGCACCTGGCAGGTCTCACAGCCCTTGTCGAGCTAAGGACAGGATGAATCATGGAGCCCCAAGTGCTGCCAGACGATGGCCTTGCCAGTGCATTTGGAGAGCGGGGTCTATGGCACAGCCCTCCTCTGAGTCTCGTGCTATTAAAGAGGCTGGAGGCCCAGGTGACACAGTTCAGAAACCACGCATGCAGGGGAAAGCCCGCACTGCCCGCTGCCTCACGGTCACCTTTTGGGGAGGACCCTACCTTTCTCGGCCACTCGGCTTCTCTTTCCACTTGGGAAGGTCGCATGCTCACCTGCCTGGAGGGGGAGCTCTCAGGAGCACCCATTGTATAGAAGGCCTCTTGCTCCTGCTTTCCCTGCCGCTGTGTGCCCATGGGAAAGGCCAGACTCTCAGGCGGCTCTGCCTGCCCACACTGAGTGATTAACAAGACATCAGACCGGGGCCTGCACAGGCCATGGCTATGGCCCCTGTGAACGGCCAGCGTGCCTGACATGCTGGGAGGTCAGGGGTCAAAAGGACCCACATGAAACAGCTGCAGTGAAGGAACCAGCCTCCTGTCAGCAGGTGGCATGACAGAGGCGGGATGTGTCCTGGAAATGTACTGCAATAGGCTGGGGAAGCTACTGTCTAGAGCCAGCCTCCTGCCAGTCATTGCTCCTGAAGTGTAGCTGCCAACTCCCTTGATTTTGTGTGTCCTTTACACAGATATTTACATTACGATTCATAACAGTAGCAAAATTACAGTTATGAAGTAGCAACGAAAATAATTTTATGGTTGGGGGTCACCACACCTTGAGGAGCTGTATCAAAGGGTCGCGGCATTAGGAAGGTTGAGAACCACTGCATTGGATAGATCTGCTCTCTCCCACGCCTGGCAGGGAGGCCTGATGTAGTAGGTGTCCTGTGGGACCCAGTGGCATGTTCTCCCTGGTCACCTGAGCCAAGTGCCCCAAGGGCATCCCTTGTGCATGCGTACCTGTTTGTTTGTTTATTCATTCATTTATTTTGGAGACGGAGAGATAGAAACATCAATGATGGAAGAAAATCAACGATCGGCTGCCTCATGCACACCCCCACACTGGGGATCAAGCCTGCAACTTGGGCATGGGCCTTTGATTGGAATCGAACCTAGGACCCTTCAGTCCACAGGCTGACACTCTACCCACTTAGCCAAAACATCCAGGGCTGCCCTCTTTTTTAGTTGAGTCTTGTTGTTGGAACATCAGCAGATGGGTTTGACCCTCAGGCTGACTCATTTTGAGAATTGCCTACAACCAACAGTATCTGAGCTTCTGTGCAGGTGCTGGCCCATGGATCGGGATTCACCCGTCGCTTGTGGTATGTCGGTTATGGAGCTAATTGGGTGGTGCTCTGTTTTGATCTAAAGCCAGCCACAAGGTGTGTTGGTTTGGGGCTGCTTGGAGCTGCCTGTGACTGACTTGGGGCCGCCTGGTAGGAGCTACAAAGTGATCCATGGTTGGTAATTGCTTGTTCTGGGCGGGGATGCATGTGAGAGAGGTCATGCTGCTAACCACAGCCACTACCACCAATACTGGGCCTGGGGATAGGTGAGCAAAAGTCACAGGCCCTCGAGGACCTGCCATTGCCGGCCAACTCCCTTTAAGGCTCAGCCACTGAAGGATCCTTGGGGGTATGCAAGTTGGGTAAGGCAGGGTCCCAGGGAGTCACCAGGGTGGGGTGAGGGTTGTTCATCAGCTTAATGTTTAGATTTGGCACCAGTACTGAGACTGCGGTCCCTCAGCATAAGTCTCAGGATACACTGAGGCCAGCTGCCACCTGCCTCAGGCTTGTGGATTTTTGCAGTGTGGCAGAGTCTCAGGGAGTCATCCAGATGGAGCTGGTGAGGATCACCAGCTAATGTAGATTCAGATCTGGCTTGGGGAGGAGGGAAGGGCAATGTCAGATCTCTCTCCAGCCCTTACCCTGAAGCCACACAACTGTTTCTCTATGTGTGTCTCTGGTGCCCCCTGAGTTGCTGAATGCAGGGTGAGAGCCTGTAAGCTAGAGTCTGTTCCAGCATCCTTTAAAGGGATGCCTAGGTTTGTTTTTAGCACCCTCCGTCCCTCCTGGACAGATGGAATCCCCGACCGGTTTTCACAGCCAGATGCTTTGGGGACTCTTCCTGGCACTGGTGTTCCAGGCCAGGGAGTGGAGCCGAGACCCCTTGCTCTTGCAGGGGACCTTTGCAGCTGAGGTAGCCTTCTGTTTTCTCAGATGCCACGTGTGGGAGTGGGGCCAGCCCATTTTGTGTCTCCACCCCTTTTAACATTCTTGATGTGACTTCTTTATAATCTTAGTTATAAGACTTTGGTGCAGCTAGTCTGCAGATAGTTCTATAGGTTGACTGCTCTATAATTTAATTGTAATTTTTATGTGGTCATGGCAAGTGAATACAGTATCCATTGACTCAACCATCTTCACCAGAACTCTCTGATATAACTTTTTTGTACGAAAAAAAGCCTTCTCCATATAGATGCTGAATTTTCATGTAATTTTAATTATTCTGTTTTTAAGTTTATTGAGTCTTTAGTTTTATCTCATTATTTCACAAATTCTTACCTACTAAAGTCACACTGCATAGAATAGATGTATATACTTATATTTTCAAATTATGTATTTTATATCTGTGTGTATATATATATGTCTATATTTATTTATTTATTTTAAAATATGTTTTATTGATTTCAGAGAGGGAGATTATATATATCAATGATGAGAAAGAACCATTGATTGGCTGCCTCTTGCATGCCTCACACTGGGGATCAAATCCACAACCCGGGCATGTGCCCTGACTGGGAATCGAACTAAGAACTGCTGGCTCATAGGAAGATGCTCAACGACTGAGCCATGCCAGCTCAGTATTTATATTTATATATCTATATCTATATTTATATTTATATTTATATTTATATGTAGAAAACACAAACCCACCACCCACTGGCAGGACTAATCCCAAGCCTCCGTGTTTCCTTCATGTAATGACCTGGTTGGATTTCATTACAGAGCCACCGGCTCCGAGTGCCCGATGGGCATTACCATTGCTGCTACTAAACGCAGCACTTACATCTCCTGGTTTTCAACATGGTAAGGTGTTCTTCCCTCCTTTTTTTTCCTTGCAGCACGGAGCAGTGCCACTCAAAATCAGGTATGATGCAATGGGGGCAGGCTGGACTCTGCTGCCCCTATGTGTAGAAGGGGGAATGGTCTGTCCAGAAGAAGCTGCCGAGTTCCAGGAAGCCTGCACTAATATTGCTTCTTTTTGAAACCAAGGACAGAGTATTAGATCACCACTGTCAACCACTTAGAGTCTGAAGAAAATTGGAAATTCTCTCACTCTGCTTTAAGGGATGGCAGGGTACATCAGGCTGATTGACTGATTGAAGATTCCATTTCTGGGAGAGCCAAAACTGTCATCAAGTCTCGGGGTGGTGACCTAGGGGTTAGCACATACGATTCCATTATGGGCCTGTTGTCCAATAGTTAACAGTCCCTACATTCTATCAGGCAAGAGGCTTGGCTCGCTCACACCCTCAGGACCTTCTAGACACTGTAACAAGAATTTTTAAACTGCCTTATAACATGTAGACACAGCCCTTGGGATAGGCCATGTGTTCCCACCGTTTTTCAGACATTAATTCTTTTACGCTCTCCAGGACCTCAGAGAGGGTGTGTTTTTATTATTGCCATGTGTCATATGGCATACTAAGGCAAAACAACATGCTCTTACACCTGTAAGTTACATATTAATACCTCACAACTTCTGCGGACCGGGCATCTGGGCACGGTTGGGCTGGGTGCCTCTGCCCCAAGGTCTCTGAGAAGCAGGAAATATGCTTTCACTGAGGCTAGGAACAGATTCCCCACAAGATCACTCGCCTGGTTTGTGTCAGGATGCACGTTACACTGAGGAGAGAGCTAGCTCCTGCCTGTTGGCCTGGGCACTCCCTCACTTCTCTCCAAAGAGGTCTCTACATAGGGCAGCTCAAAACACGGGTGCCTGCTCTCCTACTTCCACAGATAAGACAGACAGACAGACACAGATATATGTAGAGAAAATGAAGTAGAGGCTTAGAGGAAGGAAGGAAACTCAAGAATGACAGAGGAGTGACAGGACATGACACCCCATTACCAGGGCTGAATACTCAGCTGTTCAGAAGCCAGTTCCTAAGTACTCAGTGGGCACACAAGATGTTCCCACAAGGAGGCAGGAATCACTAGAAGCCACTGTGAAGGCTCCCACCACATGGACTGACATGAGACACTGATTCTAAGTTTAACAAGAGACCACTGGGAAGTTTTAGGTCAGTAAATGACAATATCTGGATTTCCTGTCATTTTAACCCCTTCCAGGTACAGACATGAGGCCAAGATAGGCAGTGACTTCCCCAAGGTCACACACTGCGCCCCCTCACCCCCAGGCCTGGCATGTTTAGGTTGATGTTCCATGCTACAACCCACCCCTTCTTGTAATGCTTCCACTTCTATGTTTGTGTAGCAGATCCATGGGACACCAGCCCACAGGCTGTGACAGAGGCATTATCTCCTCCACACCTGATGAGGTCCTTAGGAAGTGGTGTCTAGCATCACTCTCACTGTGCAGGTAGGGAGACTGGGGCTGCCCTGGGAGGCACAAAGGCTTCCCCAGGGCACAGAACTCCTAAGAAAAAGTAGATGTGACCTCAGCTTTCTCCTCCAAGCTGGGGACCTGGGACACGCCCAGGGAACTGTGGGAAGGGCTGTGTTAGGTATAGGCGTACATGTGTGGAGATGACATGGGCCAGGAGGGGTAACGGTCAACAGCCCAGAGGGGGCTTTCGGTCGCTCTGATTGGAGGAAGGGTCCCAGGTCATGGAACCTTGAAAGAGTGACCTCACTTCCTCGGTGACAGAATCCCAACAGAAAAGATAAGTCTAGTTCACTTGACTGCAGACAGTCAGGAAAGGAGGATGTTTCTCTGTTGCTTCCCGACTTTGTGGCGAGGCTCTGGGCAGAAGAAAGCCCGGAGTGAGAGGCATTTCTGTTGCTGTAGAGTCTGGCGCAAGCGCCGCCACAGACACTGCTCGCCCTCTGGCAGGAGGCGACCCCAGGTAACCAAGGGCTGGCCCGGCCAGGCCAGGCCCCAACTGGGATCCCACCAGGCCAGCCCCAGCCCCTGACCCCTCATCCTACATACCTGTGTTGGGCCTGGTGAGGGAAACTGGAGGATGAAGGGCACTCATCGTGGGCAGGAGCTGGTTGTTGGCGACTGGAAGCCTGGTGGGTCTGTTGTGTTTATACCCAACTCATGGCAGGTGGGATGGAAATGTGAACGCTATGTACCAAACTCCTCACACATCTGTTAATCTTGAGCCCACAGGGTGTCATCTCATGCCTTCCCTGGCTGGAGGTCTATGCAGATGCCCCTCTGTGCCTGACCTGGGGATGCCCGGGCAGGCCACTGATGCCTCCTGGCCCGGCAACGGGCTGTCTTGGTAGAGCTCCAACGAGGATGTTGTAGAGGAGCTGGTTGAGGCATTCACTTATGCCGTCAACCAATACAAAGAACAAGAATGCCAGGCCAGGAACACCATACAGTGCCAGGCTGAGGTGACAGCTGTCCCACATACAGGACCGGAGATGACTGTGGTGGGACCAGAACCCAGACTCAAATCTGGGGCCCACTCCCAAAGACATCCGTCCCTCCAATACTCCCATCCAGGTCCCTGGTAGGGTAGGAATAGTCTTCACATATCTGTTGAAATGGTAAAGGAAAAAAAAATCCTGCTGTGTTTGCATTTGGCTCGTTATGATTGTCTAATTACCTGCCCCAGGTAGCCTGTGGAGCAGTCAGCTCGACTGTCCTTGAACAATTTTCCCAACCCTTACACATCATCACACTCGATAGGGTGGTTTGTACAAAAATACAAGAAAGGAAAAAGAAAGAAGCATGGGGAGGAATGAAGAAATTGGACACATTTCTCTACAAACCACTGCAGGCCGGCCAGGCCAGGAGCTGTGGCCTTATCCACCAGCGTTTTGGTGGTGTTGGACCTTGACATGATTTAATCCTTCTGTCACTTCAACAGAGCTGCTAGGAACGTCCTCACTGTGTCCTAACAGAATGTATCAGTTTGCCAGGTCTGCCATAACAGGGGACCAAAGATGGAAGGTTCCAGATGCCTACTGTCTCAGTACCCAGCTTTGTTTTTGCAGAACGCCAATGAGGACATCATTGAGGAGGTGGTCCACGGGCCCCACTATACCATCTACCGGGTCAGGGTGCAGGTGCACCAGGCCAACAACAGCAGCCAGTGCTGGTCTGAGGTGAGAATAGGCCTGGGGAGGTTGGGGGGGTTTAAACACCCAGGAACCCAAGATGATCAGGGAGAATCAAAAACCCAGACTCAAATCTGGGGACTCCCCTGAGGCCCTCCCAAGGTGTTCCCACTAGAGTGTCCACAAGATCATGCATAAATGATTCTGGACCTCCACTTCTCCTTCCAACTACATGGTAGGAGAGAGAGCCTCTCCTCACATAGTTTAGGAATATTAGAGAAGAAAAGTATGTTGTTTCACTTCACAGTAGAACATGAGCACATTTGCATGTTGCTCTTTTGGTGGTTTGAATTACCTGACCTTGCTATCCGGTGGAGTGGTCAGCACAACTGTCTTTAGAGACCTTTTCAGAGCCTTACAAATCACACTTGATTGGGTGGTGTGAACAAAAACTAGATACACTTCTGTGCAATTTGTCATCTCTCAGAGCACAGCAAACCATTGTAGGCTGGGCACATCAGGAGTCGTGACCTCCTGCATCTCCATATCACCTCAGAAAGGACATAGTTTTCCTCAGTGACTCAGCCTTTCAGTGCTGTTGGAACTTATGAACAATTCTGCTGCTAGTTCAGCAGGGCTGCCAGGAACATCCTCCTTGAGTCCTAACAGTCTGTCTGAGTTTTCAGGGCTGCTATAAGATAGAACCGCAGACTGGGTGGAGGGTTCCTAATGCTTACTGGCCCGGGCCGGGCTCTGTCTCTGTAGAGCCCCAAAGAGGACGCTGTGGAAGAGCTCATCGGTGGGTTCAACTCTTCTATCTCCCTAGACAAGGGGAAGGTGTGTCAGGCCACGGACACCATCCAGTGCAATACTGAGGTAAGACCTGGCCCAGGGGTGGTTGAGGAAAAGGAGTGTGTCCTCTCACCCTGAGATGACCTAGCAGTGCTCTAAACCCAGAATCAAATCAGAGGACTCCCCAGGGATCCTCCTAGGGCTTCCCCGAGATCAGTGATTCTCAACCTTCATAATGCAGTGATCCTTTAATATAGTTCCTCCGACGGTCTTAGGCGACCTTGCTAGGAAAATTACAGTTATGAAGTAACAATGAAAATAATTTTATGGTTGGAACTGTTAAAGGCTCACGGCACTAGAAAGGTTGAGAACCACTACCCTAGAGTGTCCCACAGTCAAATGCACAAAGGAATCTAGAGCGCCACTTCTCTCTCCCGCTACATAAAGAGGACACTCCACAAATATTTGCAGGAATACTAGAAAAAAATACGTTGTTTCATTTCACAGTAGACCACGAGCACATTTACATTTTCCTTTTTGTGTTGTTTAAACTATCTGCCCCAGGTATCCTGTCCTTGCAGACCTCCAATCACAGAGGTCCTCTGCCCTGCCATGCAGACTTTTAGTGCTGTGGAGCAGTGGCATAATTCAATTCAGTCACCACACCAGCAGTGCTGTGAGAAACACTTAAGTTTGTCCAAATATACTGTATGAGTTTCCTCATGCTGCTATAACATCAAACCAGATTGGTTGGTGTAAACAGCAGACATTCTTTTTCTCACAATTCCAGAGGCTACAGGGTAGAGATGAGGGTGTCACCAGGGCCAGTTCCTCCTGAGGGGCCTCTCCTGGGCTTGTAGATGGATGTCTTCTATCTCTGTGCCACAAGAAGTCCCCTCTTTGCTTCCACACATCCTCCCCTTCGCTTCTAAGTACACTAGTCATATTGGATTAAGACCAAGACCACTGCATTCCCTTTTACCTGAATGGCTTGCTTAGAGACTAGAACTCAAGGACAAGCACATTCTCAAGTTTTAGTGGTTCCAAAGTCATGGAATTTGGGTGACACAATTCACACCACAATGGATATACTATTCCTAGCTGGAGACAGATGCCCGGTCCTGAAGAAAGGATGTGCACATGTAACATTTTAAGAGCTGCAGCCTGATTACAAATGGAAAAGGCTGGAGCAGTGATGTTGCCAACATCATCAGTTTTGTGATGATGGCCGCTGACTAGCACCCAATCTGACCCAGGGATCTCTCACTTCTTTAAATTTTGACCAACCCAAGACCAGTTGTTCAAGGCAATCACAGTGTTCCTTGACTGGCAATTGCCTCATGGGTACTTTGACTCACCTGTCAGCTTTCCACTAGCCACATGGATTAGCTACTTCCTGAGTCATGTGCTCGCACTCCAACTTTCTCCAGTCTGGACTCATCAAGCCTTTGCTCCTTCCCTGAATCTGGGATCTCCATAATGAGGGTCCAAAAATGTCCTTTAATGGAAAAAGGAAGAAACATAAGTGTCATTTTGGGAGACAATGGTTTTCATAGGCCGGGTCTATCCTGTAACCTGTCCTCCAACTTGGAGGGGATGAGGTTCCCGATGCCCTTTCCATCCAGGTCAGGAGCAGAGAAGTCTCAGGCAGCTAAGAGGGAATGTCATGCAGTCCTATCGTGGGACAGTTCTCAGGTCTAACCAGCATGCCCTGAAGCTGCCATGTGACATCCCTAAGACTCTGGGTTCTCATCTCTATGTAACAGATGTTTCTAGAGAACTCATTGGAAGCTAAAACGACATGCCTGGAAGGTAACAATTATATAAATATCCCCTGTCCACCAAACTTAAGTGGTACCTTTAAAACCTAGAACCCGGTTCAGTGTGGCCACTCCTGTCCTTCCTCTTGTACACGTCCCTAAGGGTCTGAGAGTTCCTCCCTGAGCTCCAGACCTCAGCCTCCTCATGGTTCATAGAGATACCACTGACGGATCCCTCCTTGCCCCACCCAGTGTGTAGCTGAATTAGCACGTAACCTGACTGAGGCGACCAGGATGCGAGCCCTACAGGAAGACAAACTGAGGAAGGTGGCAGCCTCAATGGTACCAGCTCTCACGGGTAGAAACATCTCCCGCACTGCCACGTTTATATCCACCCACCCGGCCTTATCCAGAGCCCAAGAGTTCCTGGACCTGCTGCTTACTGGGTGAGCACACTCCCCCTTCTTGGGCATAGTGGTGATTCTGAGCACTGCTAGCTCAGTGTCTTACAAAGGTCACCACATTTCTGTGAGCCTCAGTTTGCCCTTTCGAAAAGTGAAGTAGGGGTAGAGGATAAGGTTCTTGCAGAGATTACTGTAGGGATGAGCCATGGCAGGTTCTAACCTGCTGCCTGGCTCTGCTGAAAGGGCTGCTGGATGGGCTATGGTTGTTCATGGCTATTATTTCTGTCCCCCATGAAAAGTCATCTGCCTGACCAATCAGTAGCCTGTGGCATTTCTGTTTTTTCATTTTATTTTATTCTGTTAGTTTTTATGTTTTCCTTGGCCTGTGACATTTCTGAGTTTGCAAAAGCACATGGAAAACAACCAGTCAAGGAGTTCAGAACTCCACTTAGCTGATCCTTGTCCTCACCGTTGGTGTTGGCAGACTAGAGAGAGCAGGGGGCCGCAGGCCCGCTCATATATCTGGGATACTTTTCGTTGGAGTTCATGTATTCAACAATGTGTATTAAGTACCTACCACAAGTAGGTACTTTTGGAGACACTTAGCATAACTCAGAGAATGAAGGAGACACAATCCCTGGGCCCCAGTTCCACTTAGTGAGTCAGACAGTATCCCCAACCTATCAGATCTGATGCCATCAAGGTCTTCTTCACATTTAGAGGCATACCTCCTCATAATGACTAGGGTGACACAGCACAGGACCAAGTCAAAAAGCAAGTGGTCTTTGGGTCCAGAAGGAGGGCCTCCTGAGTCCACAGGATGAAGGCAATGGGTGGGGAGGGCCTAGCAGAACCACGATCTTACACATCTTCTCATTCCCAAGGGAGGCCTGAGCCCTGATGGCTTCTATTCTGGGAGGACAGGGGTCAAAGAGGACTGTGGATGGGGCCCCTGGCCTCACAGGACCTAAGAAAAGGCTGAGTTGTCTCCCAGAGCCCCAAGCCCACCACAGTCCCATTCTGCTCTGCCTGCCTCTCTCCACAGTCAGCTGTCCTATCACCAGGCTCCAAACGGCCTGCTCACACATCTGTCTCAGCCCTCAGTGCAGATGCCCAGGTGTATGAAGGGCTGGGCTGGGCAGGGGACTGGACATTCAGGAGAACTGTCAGTGGGAAGAAAAGACTCACACAGATGCTGTGAGAAGGTTGCTTTCCAGGCTGCTGCTCTCAGAACAGCCACTAAGGGATTGGGGCTGGCATGGGGCTGTGCCCTAGAGGGGCAGGGGCAGGCACAAAGGTCTGGTCCCAAACAAGGTGCCCTGGAAGGGCAGTGCACAAGCAAAGACCAGGATTCTGACTCCACTGCCTACCTGCCTCTCCCCAGAGCCATTGCTTCTACGGTGGGAACCTGGCCTGACCAGGTGCAGGGTTTTGGCCGGGCTCTCCGCTTCCCCTGGCTCCAGCTGAAGCAAGCCTCAGTGCAGGCCAACTTCCCTGCCCCACACCACACGGACTACAACCATCTCCTTTGGATGGAGCTGGCGCAGCTAGAGCCCACCGAGGCCATGCCCAAAGGTGAGGGGAACGCAGTCTGAGAAGATGATCTGGGGCGGGGAGAACCATGGGCCCCAGGGCCCTTACAGGCAGTGCATCTTTCCTGTCTTTGGCAAGACACAAGAACACGAGGTCTGTGTCTGAGTCTGTCCATTTTCCCTGCTCCAGGACCACCGCCAGGGCTCCAGAGCACTCCAGAGCCAGAGGAAGGGCCTGCTCAGGTGCCAGCGGCTGCTCCAGCCAGAGGCCCCTCCCTGGCCTGGCCTGGCATGAAGCTGCACTCGAAGTCGTCCTGGAGGCGTCTTTTTGAACCTTATTTTTTTCTGTCTTAAAAATTGTAAGAAATTATCCTAAATATATAGACAAATAAGAGGAATACACCCCAACAGTATATGTATAATATCCAAAAACAAGTTTCCATTAAATGAACTATATACCATTAAATGAAATACTTTGGAAACAATAGAAATAAAGTTGTTGATTAAAAATATCTGTAGACAATACCTGCTCATATACACATGCATACTATGATTGTGTACTTATTATGTGTAACCATTATACATATAGAAGTAAACATTTTTAAATCACTTCTAAAATAGATTTAAATTTTGTGATAAGTAAACAAATATAAACTGATAAAATGGGAGAAATAAAATTTGGAAATGTATGCAACACAAGGTCAACACTTGTTAACTCTTGCAAGAGGGATTACTAGAAGTGACTGTCTCTTCCTTTTTTGCTCAATCTATTTTCTGGTTTTTGTACAAGGATCATATATTCATTACCAGACATTTCAAGACTATTTATATAGATGACACTTTAAGAGTCTTTGAATTATCTCACCAATATCGATAATATCTTTCTAAATTTTCCCATCTGCTGTTTGAAATCTTGAAATGATCTCATCAAAAGCAACACTAACTTGATGAGCTACGTTCTATTTCCCTCGGTGTTTAGTCTGATTTGCTCTCTGAGCACTGAGAGCCACTAGGCTGTCTGATAACATTTAAAATCACTGGGGATAATAAGAGCATTGCTTTGGTTGTAACTGAAATCATTCAGAAGTACTCTCTCCACTAAACACTTACTTAATCGTTTTATGTTTCCTTCTTGAGCCCAGAATTGAACATACCAGTCAAATTCAATGGAACAGGCAATGGTTGCACTAGGACAGGATGGTATGAAAACAAGGAAAACCTTCCCAGGCCTACCTGAAGGGCCACAGTTCACTTCACAACTAAAACAACCTACCATTAAAATTAAACCCAACATGTCAACAATTTTTAAGAAAAAAAAAAAAAAAATGGGAATGTGATCTGTAGCAATTATTTCACAAAGAATGCTTGCTGTGTGAGATGAAGCCACGTCATGTCAAGCCATACAAACATGTGGCTGAATCACCTATAGGTGGTCATTCTCATGTTAATACTCTTGCTTTGAGGGGAGACACATTTTCTAGCTTTTAATTTCTGTTTGGTTTGAATGAAAACCAGCTGGTCTATAAACCAAGCCAACACTCCTCAGGTATGCACCAAGGGAAACCTAAAGGTCGACACTACTTGAATTTTAAGTTTTACTTCATTTTAGTTCATGTAAATTTAATTTTGAAAAGTTTTATGTATAGCAAGTGGTAACCATATTGGGGAGAGTAGTTAAAGATACCAGCAAATAGATTGAAAGCAGGCATCCCTGGATGTCAGGATACCTTTCCTCCACACAGAAGACACTTACAGGACCATCAGCGCCCATCCTATAAACAGGAAGACCACTTTCTCCCGGCCATTCCCTGACTCGTCCTCGTCCTCGTGGGCAGAGGCAGCCTCCTTCAGTTTGATGTCCTCACAGCGGAGAGACCTGTGGTCACGGGCTTGTGAAAGAAAGTCTCAGAGATGATTTCCATGACAATATTTTCCTCCCTGAGAAAAAGAATAATAACATAGAGAAGACTTTATTTAAAATCACTAGGGATTTTGATGCTAGGCGCTGTGCCACCTTCCTGTTGCTGGCAGCCATATTGTGACCATGAATGAATAGTGAAGGGAATGAGCAGCTGAATTCAATCCTAGATCCACCCACCTGTGGGTTTGTTACTTTGTAAGAAAAACAAATCCCTCCTGTGTAAGACACTTTCATCAGGATTCCCTTGTTTAAAATCCAAAGCTTCCGAAATGAATGAGATCCTTACAACTCCTGAATATGGGCAAGGTTGTATCATTCCTTGGTATTGCAAGAAATGGGTAAATGTGGGAGCAGGGAGGATGACAGAGGAAAGATGGGAGATGTTTAAAAGCAGTATCTACAGACCTCCACCGGCTTCACAGGAAAGTGAAGAGAAGACCTCTCTGCAGCCCAGGATTCATCCGTTTCCTTTTGTTAGTAGGGAGACCAGAGGGCACGTCCCCTCCAGCCCCACTCAACTCCAGACACACCACCTGGCAGCACCCACAGTGCATCTATTGTGGTGCAGACAAGGGCTCTTTAGAAAGCTGGCTCCAAGTGGATCCCACATCAAAACGGCCTTGAAGGAGCAGAAAGTAACCCAGGGGAAATGCTCGCCCTTTCCCCTCACGCAGCTCACGCCCCTCCAGGAACCAGGGTGCCCCAGCGGAGCCCAGCATCGCCCAGCCCGGAGTTGCTCACCACTGGTCCTTGTTAGTCTCTGCGAGCACCCAGAGGTGGCAAGTGAGAACCCTGGTCTTCCAGACTGTTCCCGCCACTTCCAGAGGCCGCGCCCCCACCGTCACGGTAGTGGGGCCAGGACCCGTCATGGAGGGTGCGGAAAAGCACAGGGCGCTGCTCCCTCCGCCGGCGGTCCATCCCGGGTACTTCGAAGAGTCCGGTCTTCAAGCACACCGCTCTCCCCGCCGCGGCCCTTCCTGGGAAATGTAGTTCTGTGGGTCCCGTGGCCTGTCGCCAGCGCCCCGGCCTGGACTACCAGCCCCACAATGCTCCGCGACGGGCGTGCAAATCCCAGCTGTGCATGCTTGTTGTGGTTGAGCGGAGTAACTTCAGTTGGGTGAATCCTTCAGGTTTTCCTGCCTTCCCCTGCTTGGGCGGAGGGGGTGTTCCACCTGACCTATTGTTTTTCCTGGCAGTGACAGTGTGGCTGTGGACGAGACCTTAAGCAGGGCAGTCGCTCTTCTGGAGACATCCGCTTGGAAGTGACTTCTTTAGCCTCAGTCCCAAGAGAAAGGCACACGAACCCCCGTGCCCCATGGAGTCTCCCTAGGCCTGCGGAAGCCCAGGACTAACAAGTTTAGACCCCCCTGCCCTAAGCATTGTCTCGCACTTTGCGGTGCTGGGTGGCCTGCTTCCTCGGGATGGAGCCTGGTCCCACGCCTACCAGTGTGCCCTGCAGTGACCCTACAGTTCTTATTGCTTGCAAGAACTTTCACTGAACTTAAAGGCTTTCTCTTTTCTTCTCTATCTGTAAGGTGTCTTACTGTAGGGCAGTGATTTTCAATGGTGTGCTGCAAGACTTTTAAAACATACAGTACCTGACTATTGAGCCAGGGGCACTGACTACTTTCCCCCTTAGATTGTCAAATAAATAAATAAATAATCACAACAGCTGCCTGGCCTTTGTTGGTCCATGGTTAGAGTGGTCATCCTGTGCACCAAAGGGTCCTGGGTTCAATTCCTACTCAGAGCCCATACATGAGGCAACCAATTGATGTTCCTCCCTCTCTCCTCTATGCCCTCTTCCACCTCTACCCCCTATCCCATAATCACCACTGCTGTCCATGTTCCTGAGTTCTTTTTTTTATTACTCTACCTCCCTGCCTCCACCAGAACTATCTGCCTGCTTTCTATGAGTCTGTCTCTATCTCACTTGGTAGTTCAGTTTGTACCCTCTCCGTCACAATTTATCTCGCTCTATTCACTCAGTTGTCTCATTCAAAAGACTACAAGCCCTTGATGGCAGAGACCATCTTTTTCTTATAGAACTAGAGGCCTGGTGCATGAAAATTTGTGCACTGGAGGGGGGGGGGGGTCCCTCAGCCCATCCTGCCCTCTCTCATGGTCCAGGAGCCCCCAGGGGATGTCCTCCTCTGCGGGAGGCAACCAGGCTGATGAGGGGAAGGCGTTGCTCCCATCACCAGCTACTGCTGCCACTGCCAGCTGCCACAGCTGCTGGCCCTACCCCCCACCCACTGGTGGGAGCGGGGCAATCTGGGGCCAGGCTGGCTGGGGGAGGGGCTGTGGAAGGTTGAGGCACAGCAGGTTGCACCCCATCCAGCCTCTGCAGAGGTGTGGCGCCTGTACCACGCCATGCTGCTGCCTCTGTGGCTGCTTCTGCAGAAGGGGCAGCAATGGGACTGGACCCGCCACAGCCTGTCCTGAACCACCTCTGCAAAAGGGAGCGTGGTGCTGGCACCGAACCTGTCCACCCCTCCCATGTGGCGCTGGCCCTAGGCCTTCATAGCAGCTGTGGCTTTGTCTGGATGGATGTCTGGTGGACTCCAGAAGATGTCTGCCCTAATTAGCATATTACCCTTTTATTAGTGTAGATGCATTAGAGGCCCAGTGCATAAATTTCGTCCACAGGTAGGGTCCCTAACGGCTGCAGGCAAGGGGCGTCTCCCTTTCTCCGGCCACCTGCTGCCACCACTGGCCCCGCCCTCTGGTTGAATTCCTGGTTGAACTCCCAGTGGAGGGGACAATTTGCATATTAGGGTTTTATTATATAGAATAGTACCTGGCTCAATATTTTGGGAGTTAGCACTGTTCTACAGAATTCTACCTGTCTGTGCCTCTGTTTTTTCATTCTATCCATCTTGCAATCATTTCTCATTCCAGCCTTCACTTAACCCTTCTCCTTAGGTCTGCCAGTGATGTCCAGTGACTTTCATGGGTGTTCTGAAATCCCACTGGTAACTCTTGGGGCTGAGGACTATGTTGACCCTTGGAATGGTATGAGCATCATGTTCCTATGACACTTTTTATTTGCAAATTTTTTAATAATAGTGCCAAGCACCATGCTAAAGGCTTTGCAGATGCTGTCATACTTAATTCTAACAACTCCAAGAAGTGGATACTTTTATCCCCATTACATAGATGATGCATGAAAGAAGTTCTCATTTAGCTAAGGTCCCACTGCTCGTATGTGAAGCTGGAATGCAAACTTCCAGTGACTCCAGGACCAAACTTTGATCTCATAGAATCACCCAGATAGAGATTTATTAACACACCCCATGCTACAACCAATATAGTCCTAATCTTTGACTGTATAAATCTTTCTCTTTCAAGTCACAATAGCAATGAACCTTGAGAAAAAATAGATAACAAGGCGGGGAAAATTATAAATGAGGAAGTACTGAATAAAGGGAAATATAGTTTCTTTTTTAAAAATACATTTTTTAAATTGATTTGAGAGGGAGGGAGAGAGAGAGAGAGAGAGAGAGAGAGAGAGAGAGAGAGAGAGAGAAACCTTGATGTGAGAAACACTGACCATCTGCCTCCTAAATATCCCCTACTGGGGACTAAGACTGCAAACAGGTATGTGCTCTGACAAGGAATGGAACCAGCAACCTTTAGGTGCATGGGACAGCTCTCAACCATTTTGGTTGGAATACAGATGTGGTCCAGTCTCTGTTCTCATGTAGTGAATCTTACATTCAGGTGGATAAATTGAACCAGAAAATATAACATACTCAATAGATAAAGTGATGCCTGAAGACCTCACAGAGGAGTAAAACTGGTCTGACTCAACCCCAGAAGGCCATGACCATAAGAAGCTAAATATATCTTAGTGTCCCCTGGCCTTAGGTTAGAGCGCTTCCTGCCCTGGAAGGAAGTCATAAGACCATTCCCTATAATGAATTCACCATTGCCAGACAATCTTCACAGCACTAAAGTTATTCTTCTTTAAACAAACAGTAGAACTCCTCTGTGCTGCAATCTGGACCATATATGTTTGTAGGGTAGTTCTTTATCAACTTTATTTCTTCTATGAATATCTGCCTGTATTCCATGTATTCAAAAGTCTCTTTTGTTAAATTATATTTCCTGGAAAATTGTCCATTATTCCAGGTTCTCATCAAAACTTGGATTGCATAGGCATCTGAAAGTTAAAATGTTAACAAATTAACTCTAGTTTCTGCTCCAGCCACACATTCCTCCCAAGTTTTCCCTGTCTGTCTAAATGGCATCACCACCCATCCAATTGCTAAAAGACAGAAATCTAGGAGTCATCCTTATTTCTCCTTCCTTCACTGATTCTTTCCATCTATCAGTAATTTATTAAATTTAGCTCCAAAATTCTAGCACCTCTAACACCTTCCCCTCTTCTATTCTTCCTCTTGCCCTCTATTCTTTACTTCCCCAATCAATTCTCAACACAGTAGCTAGAATGTTCTTCTTAAAATATATAAATCATATTATATTACCCTCAGCCGCAATGCTTTTGCTCCAAACTCATCCAAATTTCCCTTCACCTTCAGTATAAAATTCAACTCAACAAGGGCAATGAGGCCTTCCCTCACTCATTGAGAGTTGACTATGTTCCCAACTTCATTTCAAATAACTGTTCCTTATACCACTGTGAGCCAAGATATTTCTCAAACATGTCAAGTTCTCCCCCACCCAATGTGGTTGCTTTAAACTGTTCCCAAGTCACTTAACTGTCACTTCCTTAGGAAACCTTTGAAATGGATACTTTACACTATTACTCTCTGCCAAAACACCCTGTTAATAACCCTCAAAGCATTTAGTAAACTTGCAATTATTTTTGTTTACTTGTCTTTTTTTCTGTATTCCTTCAGGGAATTTGTTTTTAATGGAGAGGGAGCATGTCTCTGTGATAGCCATTGTATTTCCACGTTTTGCATAATGCTTGGCAGCAGAGCAAGCATTCAGTTGTAAATGTTCAGTGAATGAATGACACAGATCCAAGAGGATAGTAGCTAAAAATGGGAGATATTGTGAAAGAGGAGAAAGCTCAGTGAAGAGCTGTAATACGGACAGCATATGTGTTTCAGTGTTTGCTTTCCCCACTCCAGTACACATCATCTGGACAAAGCCAGTCTTGTACCTACCCCAGGAATGCGGTAATAAAACTGGACGCTGGCTTTCTTCAGGAAGGCTGAATTTCATTAAGCCTGGAAGAAATTAGTCCATCTCATTATATTCACATTAGGCAATTAAAAATAGGAATATAGATACTATGTTATACATAAGCATAGAGTTATTTCACAGATTGTTATCTATGTTGGCTGAGAGAGTCAATGGCCAATCTAGGATACTGACATAAAAAATTACTATTTAACTTGATCCTATTGTATGCATCTCCTGCCAATACCACTAAACCACACATATGCAGATGTATTTCATGACCACAACTCAAATCACTGAATCCCAATCTCTTTGTAGCCCTGTGCTAAGGGCTGAAATAATCTAGTCTGAGAAATGTTCTTATCTCCTTAGAAAATTATGTAAGGCCAACATGAATGTGTCAATGTAACAAAGGGACAGACACTGAACACTGATCAGATCCAGATACTGGATATCAACCATGCTAGTCAACTCCTCTAAATCTCATGGCGCTCCAAGCGTTTAGCCCAGAGCCTGGCACCCGTCAGCATCAGTGTGAGCTAAGAGCATCACCATCCCCTCTCACAGACAAGCCACAGGGCGGTTTCCTTGGGTGTTTGGAAGAAAGTAGAGCAAATGTAAAACCTAAAGGGATGTATATTTAGAAGCAGTTTTGCTCTTTGAGGTATTCTAAATTCACACAGGGGGGGGGAGGGGTCTATTATCAAGGGAGATGAATGTAAATAGAAATTAGCATCCTACAATGTAATCTG